ATCCCGTAAGACTTGAGGTTGTGGAGCAGCGGGATATGTGGGGCCCTATCAAATGCTTTTGAGAAATCGAAAAATATGGCATCCGATACGAGTCCTTAGTCCTTGGCTTGGGTTAAGCTGTCCATAAACACGAGCATGTTTGTCACGCAAGAGCGGTGTGGGAGAAACCCGTGTTGAACTGCAAGTAAGGTGCTCTAGGATAGCTCGCTTCAGAATGCCTTCTATCACCTTACATGCCACGCTAGTGAGGCTTATAGGCCTGTAGCTTCCAGGTGATAGTCGGTCACCAGTTTTGTAGACTGGCGTGACAATCGCTTCCTTCCAAGCAGAGGGAAGGCGGCCTTCATCAAGCGACTGACGAAACACCATGTGTAAATTGTTTGCCAGTGTGGATGACGTTTCTTTCATGATCCTTGGATGGACCTCGTCGGGCCCCAACGCGCAGAATGGGTTGATCTTGTGCAAGAGTTGACGAATGTCCTCCACCGTGAAGACCAAGTCGGTTAGAGGCTGTTCGTAGTTTCGTCTCGACGAGAGTGGATACGACGAGAACGCTGGGGATGAGTATAGACACGCGTAGTGTTCTCTGTGAACCTCAGATACCACTGTTGGGTCATTTGCTGGCTCTCCGTTTCTGTCCCTCAAGGAGAACGCGGATGGCTTGTTTTTGCGGCGATGTCTCATGTACTTGAACAGTACGTTTTTGTTTTTTCCAGCGAGGTCCAAGATGGTGGATTGTTTACGTATGTTCCATTGGCGGATTTCCGATTTACAGCGATTCCGCATTTTACGAAATACCAGCTCATCTTCTGTATCACCTGTAGTCAACTTTTTGAAAAAGAGTTAGGATCTTTTCTCCAGAAGTCGTCGAATCTTTTTTGGCATCCTGCGGGTCATCCGAGTGCGTGCCGGTTTTTTTGGGACGAACGTCGCGTCAGCCTCGTGAACTTTCTGGACAATGGTCCTATGTAGTCCTCCCACCGGAGATGGTCCCAGTGTGACTTGTTCAAGGAAGGTGCGCATTCCTGAGAAGTCTGCACGGCAGAAGTCTCGAAACCACGCCTGTGGTTTGGGATTTTCGGCCCAATAACAGATGAAATCAACGGTCAGCACACAGTGGTCACTATGTCCCAGTGGAGCGTTGATTGTTACCCGATCAACGAAGTGTTTTTCGTTGGTGATGACCAAATCCAGAAGGGAGGGTTGTTTGCCTGCGCGGTATCTGGTGGGTGCAACGACGAGTTGAGTCCAGTCCATCTGTTGGACGACTTCATTCAGCGCCGCTGCAAACGGCTCGTCTGATTCGGCGCGCTGGAGTATAACGCAGTTGAAACTTGACTGTATTGGCTTGCATGTCTAACACATGACCTTATGTGTGCCCTCGCTTTCTCTCTTCCCCTATTACAGGTTCCATGGTCGAGCCACGACGAACCCCGGACGGGGACAACCCCCTGACTGACCTTGACCGACCCATTTTTTTGGCACACCCCTGTTTTCCAGTTTCGGTTTCGGTTGAATACACGTGTGCCGTTACCACGCTCCGGTGTCCTCTTCTGTCCCGCCCGACCTGTACGCATGTGTGCTGTGTATACCGTGTGAACTCAATAATACCAGTCCGTATATCTGCACACTTCAGAACCGACGTGTGCCTTCGCTACATCCTCTCAAACACCGAATACCGCTGACTTCCTGACGTCCTACGCTACAAGAGTTCCATCCAGGAGGCCTTTGGGGCGTCGAAGTCACCTACCAGCAGGAGATGAGTGAAGCGGTAGTTGGAGGAAAGTTGCTCAAGGGTTTGTATGAGGAACTGGTCATCTTCAGAGGGACTTGATGGGGTACGGTAGACCACGACGAGAAGGAGAGAATCAGACCAGCGCAGCGGGATTTCGACCCACAGCGCATCGCAAAAGGGTGCGGGGGTTGTGTCAGAGAAGACAATCGGGATTGGTAGGGCCGCATGTAAGTACAGAGCAACCCCACCTGCCCGCCTTCGTTTTGAGTCGGCTCGAAAAATAGAGTAACCGTCTATCGAGATCTCCGCGTCAGAGACATCTGGTGTGAGCTAAGTCTCTGTGTGTGTGTGATTATGGACGGTTGTTCAAGACAAGCTGACTGTTTAACATTTCCGAGTTTGTGGAAAAGGCCGAGAAAGTTTGTGGACAAGCATTTCAGCCCCGTCTCCGCTTCCTCCGAGGGTGAGGAACCGAAAGTTGAGTGACCAGGGTGGTCAGCAGACTTAATAATTGTGCGCCGGGTTTGAGTCCGAGGCTCCGAAGGGGCATCTGGGGCGATGTCGTCTGCTTCCTGTCTTCGTGGTTTTTGAGGGTGCTTTTCGCCTGCGAGGTTTTTTTCGTTCCGCGGGAGCCCGGTTTGCTCGGGGCTTTTGGCTTTGGGGGACGGAGTTTTTTCCGAATGGGCGAAAATTTCGACCGTTGCTGCTTGCAACTCTTTCAGTACCCCCATTTTGGCGACCAGATTTGCTGTTAATCAAAGAGTTGCGGCCAGCCTTCGCCTTTCTGGATTCTTGGGTGTTTTGACGCGGTCCGACCGGGAAAGTGTCTCTGTGTGACCCTGGGCGCTGGATGGCGGCACCAAGAAGTGATGATTTTGGTGGCGCCCCCAAGAGGCTCGTTTTTGAGAAGCACCGCACCTTGAAGCCAGCTAGCAGTTTTCTGATCTGGCGATTTTTATGTGGCTTGTTTGGCTGCAGCCGCTCTTCTTTCGTGTTTGTGTGGACACACGATCCGCCAGCGATCAGCTTGGCCAAATGGATGTACGAGGGAATTTCCGGATAGCTGCAGTCGATTAGCCTGAAGCCGGTCATACAAAAACTTTGACCAATTGTGGTTGTGTTCAAGGTGATTGTCGGTTGGTTTCTTTCTTTCCTTAGACAAAACCGCACTGGACAGCTGGTGCTTCGCGTACTCTTCTTATTAGAAAATACGCTAGGCTTACTAGCTTCTTCGGATACCCCGGCGTTCCGTTGGTCGTGGAGGGTGTAGTGGTCTGGCTACCCAATAGGCTCCTTTACCAGGAGTGTGTGGCTAAGGAATAAAAATAACGCCAGATTGAGTATACAGTAGTAGAGATGTCAGATGGAACAGACTCACTAATAATTTTGGCATCCGAGTCTTCTCAAACTTGTCCTTCTCATTGCACCATGAAAAATCGGCCCAAAAGACATTCGCTATTTTACGGATGATCCGACGCACCTTCTCCCGTATTACTCGCATGGACTTCCAAACGCTCTTTGGGGCCTACGTCAGACCGCTCCTGGAGTACGCCAGCTAAGTTGTTTACTCAGGACGCACGAAAGACGTCACCCTCGTTGAGCGTGTCCAGCGAGCCGCCACGAGAATGGTTGCCGGCCTCAAATCCATGGGCCGCGAAACGCGCCTCGCTATGCTTGATCTCTTTCCCCTGGAGTACCGTCGCCTCCGAGGGGACCTAATTCTTACTTATGCCTTGTTTGAACAAAGCTTGTCAAACGGTTTTTTTACCGTTGGCCCAGCAAACACCCGACCGGGACATAGTAAGAAAATTTTCAAGCTCAGAGCACACGTTCATGAGACAAATTTGTTTCTCATTTCGGGTAGTAGGTGCGTGGAACGACCTTCCTCCGACGGCTAATGGTATTTAATGCTCTTTCACACACTTATTTATGCGAATCCTCGCGCTGGCAAGCATACTGCCCTGCGCTGAGAACATAAAGAGCATCGCTGTACTCTTTTTCCACTTGTGCCTTTCAGGTGAGCGACAGCCACTGACCGACAAGAACAAAAGCGACCCGAGAAACCTGGGCAAAAGCCTCGATTCTGTGTATCAGTCCGTGAATCCGTGAATTATTCTCTTCAAAATATTTCGTCGTTGGCCCAGGTCAGCGAGTTACCAATAATCCAATCATAGTTATCCAGGATTTCTTCTGGACAGTTCAAGCATATAACAGATTCCGAAGATAGTCTGAAATGTTTTGCTACCAGAGTTAGCACATGAGACTCGCGTATGACTGCTGTAAATGTGAGCGAAATCAGAAGAGAGAGTCGGAGGACGTGACCACATTTGTATTGCGAGAAATTGTACAAGTGCGCGTTGTTCTAGTTTTTCGTATCCAAACAAAAACCGGTTATGCAATTGACTAAATACGTAATGTTATATCTGAAGCAAGATAAAGGTACAAAACGCCACAAGGGCACCTCCTGCATTTGTAGTGCACCCATTCGTAAAGCTAAACAGCAAATAAGCCACTTCCGAACCCACAGAATGCGCAGTTCAAGGCCGAATGTGCACCAATAACTTTTCAAAGAGATCGATCAAAGCAAATCGCAAAAAGGTGACGGCAGATGAGGGTGAGTTTTGGACTGAGCACATATGCAAAGGACTGCGACACTTTGCCTTTAAAGCTTTTATTTCACCCACAAGGGTTCTGCAGACAATGCATTGTGCTTTGAAGGCTCGCAGCCCTGATTTGCTGTGACCCAGCTTTCGCGTCTCTAGAGGGCGAACCTCAGATTGAAGACTGATCATTGGTTAGGCCTTTTGAATGCTTCCAGCCCGCTCCAAGATCTTCTGTACGGCAGATGGGGAGGAAAGATTAACTAGAAGCCCTATAATAAGGTATAATAAATAATGGCAATAATATAAAAAAATATATAATCCATCTGTTAAAGCTGTGCAGTGTAGAGCAAACAAACGTCAACAGCCGGTCTTCCAGGGTGAAATTGACATTGGATATTCTTTAGATGTTTTTTATTCTTAAAGGACACCGAAGAACTCTAAAATATGCTGAAGTGCCACTTCGTGTTTATGTCGAGTAAACCGGTGACAAAATGATTGTCTGTGACCTCAGAATTTTGCTCACTTAAACGAAAAGCTACGTGCAACATATCACCGGAAGGTGCAAACGGATTAGATTAACTCCTTGTTAAAGTCACAACTTTGAAGACTCTATATTTCCGGCGAAAGTGATTTGGGTGTGCAAATAGCCAGCGGCGTGTTGGTACTTCGATTACTGGTTGAACGCACAAATACCACATAGTTATCCTTCATGTATTGATTTTGGGCCTTTTCAAATGCCGTGAAGGTTGAGAACGATACCGCCACAAATTTCTCAACAGGCGCTTGTGAAGCCACTTCCGAGGCCATAGCAGATTGTGATAATTAGAATAGTGGTAGGTATCTTAACTACCGAATGTACGCGTAGTATAGAAGTCAGAATATGGACGAATGAATATCGTATATTCTCGTATATCGCGGGTGTACTCTCAATCGCATCGTAAAACAAAGACATAAAAATACACTAAACAGAATGAATAGAATAGAGTCAATGTTCACCACATCCACCACACGTTGAATGAGCGTGCGGGTGTTTATAGTCTCTATTAGGTTGGAACCTCAAATGTTCAGATCTTCTCAAAGTCGGATTGTCAGGTTGACTGGTTACAACGCACCAGATGAAGGGATAGCCTCGCACATTTTCCAAAGGCACCGCCACTAATTTTTAATGGCCCACATAAACGGCTTACATGGGTGGCGGATAAACTGCAGGAGCTTGAGCCCAGGAAGGCCAGGACCATCATCATGCAGTAAATTGATCAGGGAACAAATGCTGCTAGGCCAAGATCGGACGTCTGAAACTGGCGACTTGCAGCCGTTGGCTGGAGATACAATGCCTCAACCCAGATGCCTGTCAAGGGCCACAGAATCGGTTATTTTTGTGCTTGGTGGCTCACCGAGTCGTAACAGCAACAGATTGCGCATTATATCATGTCGACTGTTGTGATGGTCAAACTCACCTGCCGTGAGCCGGTAATCTTCAGGCTTACGCTGAAGGTTAATGGTCAATTTATTTTTTCTGCCTGTCACCAGGCTCGTCCGGAGAGCTCACAAACGTGCTTGCCAGAGAGCCCACAGAGAAGGCACGTCTTGATGTCGACTTCAACCAAAGAACAGAAACCCGGCACAGTGCGCCCCGTAGGTCCGTATGCGTCCTAGGTTTCTGATCCATTGTGGAGCTAACCGAAGTACCAATGCTGTGGGACACCGGTCTGAAGAAAGAGACGACAATGATGTTAGGTGACGCATGTAAAGTCCACCAGTATATTCTTTGACGAGATATCATGCGTTTTAGACAAGTCCCGAATTTATTGAGGCCTATTAATCGTTGGGCACCAGCCACGGGAAATTAACCAATACGAGTGGTATAAACACGGGCCCAAGTGAGCGGAGCCTCCGAAGTGCTCATTCACCAGAGTATTACCCCCGTCGGCCTCATGGTGATATTCCGATAAGTTCATGGAGTCAACGATTAGTACATACGATGGAGGATTTCGCCCAAGTTTCCCAAGTAAGTTTTGTTCTACTGGTTCAGCGTCTGCAATTCACTGGAAAGCGTAGGCGAAAAACGGTATGGCACCGCATTTTAAGTCCTCTGCGTGATGCAGTGAGATTGCCAGAGCGAGGATTTGCATAAAAAGTGTTCAACAGGATTGTCAGCTGGGTAATGGATGTAGAGTGGAGACCGTCGGAGGAAGGTTATTCCAAGCAAAAACTGCCCAAGATGAGAAAAATTTTGCCTTAGCGATGTGTGCCCTCTGAGCTTGAAAATTTTCTTAACATGGCCCCACCGTGTGTCAACGATAAAAAAGTTTTTGGCAAAGCCTTGTTTGATCAGGACAAAAGTAAGTACTAGGTCTCCTCGGAGTCGACAGTACTCCAGAAGAAAGAGGTCAATTACAGCTAAACGCGTTTCTTAACCCACGGCAACCATGTTCGTAGTAGCTCGCCGGATACGCCCAGTGAGGCTTATGTCCTTCGTGCCTCCTGAAGAGACAACTTGGTTGGCATATTCAAGAAGCGTTCTGACAAAGGCCCCGTTTTATATTTGGAAGTCCCTGCACCGAATCATCTGTAGAACTTTTAGTGCCTTTCAAGCCCGTTTTTCATGGTGCGATAAGGACACTTTTGAAGAAAACCATATAACAGAATCCTTTCTGGCATCCATCATCGTGATTTTTTCTGGTCCATTCTCACCATGCGCGATAAAGGCGTTCGGTGATTTCACTCTAAATGACATTTGGCTGAATTTATAGTCATCCAGAGGCAGGTGCTAGTCCAACGACCGCTGCTTTGCAGCGTCTACATCCATTTGGAGGGCGATGGCATTTGAACTCCAGGATTTCAAGTCAAATGCAAAAAGTAGATGTAAACATGAAAGGACCCCTTGAAGGTCACTGACGTAGATTAGAAACAGAAGTCGTCCCAAAACAGAGCCTTGGGGAACTTCCATGTAGATAGGCTGGATAAGAGTATGTTAAGCCTACTTTCACTTTCTGCCTGAGAGAGTGCCTTAACCCAGCGCAGAATTTCTCCTTGAATCCCGTACGGTTTGAGCTTGTGGAGGAGCGGGACGTGTGGGACCCGATGATTCTGAAAAATTCGAAAAATATGGCACCCCATTTGAGTCCTTCGCTTGGTGCTTGGGTTAAGTTGTCAATAAATACGAGCATGTTCGTTACACAGGAACGGTTTAAGAAGAATCCGTGTCGAACTGAGGATATCAATTTGTTGGAAGTAATTTGATCTAGAATGGCTCGCTTCAGAATACGTTCCATCACCTTGCATGCTACACTAGTGAGCCTAATAGGTGTGTGGCTTCCGAGCGATTTTCGGTCACCATTTTTGCATATTGGCGTGACAATCGCCTCCTTCCAAGCAGAGGGAAAGCCGCCTTTATCAAGCGACACACAACGTAATAAAAAAAACATACACTTTCCGTCATGACATACGTAACAATCAAAATGACCGATAATATTCAGCCTTTTCTCTAGTCTAAGGTAGACCCGTGAATTTTCCCGGTCGGGATGGATGGGAGTGTGGAGCCAACTATGTCCGCTATGGTAGACACCGATTACATCTAGCTATTTGATTAGACATCGTTGACCTCAAGCCGCATGTTAGTCGTGTGCATCAGTCGAATTTACCCAGCTGTCCACTGTGACCGACGAAATGGTCATCCTGACATATCTGTAGCGGACTAAGAGCTTATCAGCGTGTTCGGATAAATTAAGAAGCAAAGTAACCAATACAAAATCACAAAATCACAATAGGAAAGGAATGAGTAGTCAAACGGGGACTCACGAATGTGTAGATCTAATAGTCCACTACACCGATCCAAATGCAGTAACTGGCTGTGAGAGGGAAATATTCCTTGTCGGAATTTCCCACAGATAGTTCCGCGTGCGTGATATATTCCACGGTAGGAAAATTATTCACGGCTAAAAAATATTACAGGGATTTATTGTGACGTTCAACAGTTGACACAAACACAAAGATCTGGTCCCACTGGTTCAGCAGTCAACAAACAAACGTCATGATGCAATGTGAACGACAGTTACAAAGTGTGGTTTAATTTCAGGAAGAATGGTAAATGTGACAACGGATTACAGACACTACATATCTTGCCAGTTACAGTGGGAACTCTGCTGCATTTTATCACAAGACTTAATCTAGGTGCATGGGTCATCATCATCTGCAATCCCAGTGTTCTTCAAACCTCTCATGAATTATCCGAAGATAATGAATGTATCTACGGCGACGATAACGACTAATGCTATAACCACAAACTCCAAAATATGAAAATGGGAATGAATATACTCACATATTACTGGTAAATTAAAAGTAGTGAGTTCATTATAATCCGCACACTACGGTTTATGTAGCTGACCAATCATATGTGTGTGCCTCGAAACCCCTCTGGAACTTACAGACAGGGGTGACTAATGCGGGCTTGACGCATTACGCTCTTGGTAGCAGGAAGTGGTCTAATTCAACAAATACAACCGAGAAAATGCGGATTTCTGGAATATATAGGATATTTGTTAACTGTACCACACGTTGGCTTTGGTTAAAAATATGACCATGCCAACCAAGTTGTCTACTGAGGGCGCACAAAAGACATAACCTTCACTGAGCATGTATAGTGAGCCGCTATGAGAATGGTTGTCGGCCTCATATCTGTGGACTACGAAAAGCGTCTCGCGGTGCTTTACCTCTGTCCCCTGGATTATCGTGGACACCGAGGGGACATAGTTTTTTCTTATGCCCTGTTTGAACAAGGCTTTGCCAACAGGTTTCGCACTGTTGACCTGACAACCACAAGCGGGGACATGGTAAGAAGATTTTCAACCCACAGCCCATACATTCATTAGGCAAAATATTTTCTAATTTTGGGTAGTGGCAGCGTGGAATGGCCTTTCTCTGACGGTTGTCGAAGCTTCTTCTAGAACCCAGTTCAAAGCACTATTAGGCATTTATTTATGCGAGTCCTCGCTTGGGCAAGCATACTACTCCACGCCAAGAACTTACAGAGTGGTGTTACACCCTTTTTCACTTGTGCCTTTTAGGTGGACGACAGCCTTTGAACGACAAGAACAAAACTTACCCGGGAAACTGGTGCAAAAGCCTAGATCCTGTGTATCAGTTTCCCTTACTACCGTAAATATAATAAGGGATTTTGTTTTCATTTAAATGCAGTTGATAATATAGAACAATGCGACAGGAGCTTTTCTGCCAAACCTATATTTTCGAGGTCCACCGAATAAAACCA